ATTGGACCAGATAAACTGATTTGTTTTTACTCTTGAGGTCGTTTGAGGATCTGTTCCTCAGGGGTCCCATGGGCTTGGGAGGAGCCCCTGGCTCCTTTCTTTTACCAGTTCCATCTATGTGAAGATAAGTCAAAGGTCCCTTTTAAAATAGACTTGTCTTATTACAATGGCTAGACCTTCTGGTACAATGAATAGAAGTAAACAGTAGACATCTTTTCTTGCTCCTCATTTTAGGAGAAAGGAATATAGTCTCCATAGACTTCAAATATTAAGTATAATGTCAGCTGTTCATTTTTTAAAAATTTTATTGAATTTTTTGTGTATTTTATACAGAACATCTCAAACAATCTTAATCGTCTTTATACCTCCATCCCCACTGGCACCCTCAGGTACATGACCATAAGGAAACAGAGTCCTACAAGCTCCTGGGACCCTGCTCATATGATTCTATGGCAATGGTGTCAGCATACATAAGTCCCACACAAACTCAAGCAGACAACAACCCAGCATAGAACTGGGAAAATGAACAGCAGAGCTCAATCTTATCTGAAGCTGTTCATTTTTAATATATGCCCTGATAATATAGGTTGATAATATCATTTTCACATACTATTGGATTTGATTTTATGTATTACTGGATTCACAGAAGGAAAGAGAGTAAGAAAAACTTAAAAATGAAACCCAACCTTAAAACAGCATTTTACAACATTTGGTGCCTACAGGTAGTTTCATAAGACATTCCATGAAGGAAATGCTGGTTGATCAAAGACCTCCATAAAATACTGTTATATGGATTTCTGTTAAAGAGTCAGAGTAAACAGTAGAATACTAAAAGGGCCCAAACAGAGCTGAACGTTCAAAACCATTATTTAGATTATTTAATCATGAAAACTTTTCTTTATGTACTATTTTTAACATCCCACTGTTGGACCCAGGAGCACACTGAATTCTGTTAAATTAAAGTGCTCTTACCATAACTACTGACATATGGCAATATCCAAGTAAGTATAAGTATGAAAGAAAGAAGACAAAGGAAAAGAAACTTAGAACTCAAAGAAATCTAAAGGGAGTTTAAAGATTTTAAATCTAAAGATTTAAAATCTAAATCTAACTTTACTGAGCTGTTGTCAGGGAATGAATGTTAGGCTTTAGGCAGTTGTGAGAAGGAAGTTCACTATCTTTGAAAGATAATCTAGCAAGCAAGAAGTTCAATTAACATGCTACAGCAACAACCCAGATAAGAAGAAATAAGGAAGGCCTTCACCAAGACCTTCCTACTCATTCCCCAGCATTCCACACTGCTGAGCAGCCCACTTTGCAAAGTCTTCCATGACTTCAAAACCTCTCCCCTTTTTCTCCCATATCATGACTACCATCTCTAAGTTCCCTTTACTTTCTATCTTATATACACTGGATTATCCCAGAACCTGAGTCTTTTTCTTTTAAAACTACATTTACTCCTCAAGTCATCTTCATGGCTTTGACCACTACCCAAATACGATTACTCTCAAATCTGTATCTTTATCAGCTTTCCTTAGCTCTGAGCTACAAATATCTGTATCCAGCTGCCCACCAAAACAAAGGAGTCCCTACATCTTTTTGTCTTCAAAATGTGCCACCATCTACCCACTTAGTCCACCCCATAATTTTCAAACATTGGTGCCTCTGAACTTCATTATCTAAGGATCCTAAAACCCTTCTTTTTATATAGATTATATCTGCCTATACTCCCTATCCCAAAAATTAAAACAAAAAGTAAATGCATATTTACAAAAATTGAATCTATGTTTATACATAAAATATTTTTATGAAAAACTGTTAAATTTTCAAAACTTTCATCACAAGGGTAACATCATTTTACAGTGTACCAAATTCTTTGATGTCTATACCCACAGGATCAGCTTCCACACTGAATCTGTTGATGTGCTGTTTGGTGTGAAACTTAAGGAACAATATAAAACTGGCCTCTATAAAAGGAACAAGATAAAATTGGCCTTCTATAGCAGTGTGGTTGGAAAGAGAAGAGCAGTTTAATACCCACTTCCTCTCATTCTGCATATTCTTTTTTGATAGTACACCAAACTTGGCAAATTCCTCAAGGTTAACTATAATGTAGATTCTCTAGTCCAATCAACAAACTTCTACACTCTGGAAAATCTAGCTGC